GAAGCTGGTGAACTAAAAGACACACTGAATTTTAAATGAAAACTTTCTTTATGTAAGGGAATTTGCAGAGCTTGGCAAGATCCATTTCCAGAGCAATGACACATTATGCCCAGTGTCCAGCAATGACCAATCCCACATTTTCACAAAGGAAAATCCTCTGATAACTCTCCAGTTCTTTTGTTCACACAAGTTTTCATCAACTGAAGTTATACATTTGGTTTAACACTTGCCAGAAAACAAAATTACATTTGGTTTAACACTTGCCAGAAACCAAAATTATGCAGTATGACACTGTGGCTGAATTTTAAAGCCACCCACATAAACTGTTCTCATTCTGGATTTTTCCTTACTGTTCCACCAGTGTCAGCAGAGGTGACAATTTCTATCAATCATTTCCCAATAGACAAGGTGACAAATCCGTGACATCATCAAGGCGCTCAAACTTGCTTTCATTAGAGCCCAGCTCGTGCAGACTATTCATCCTAAGGTAATTCACTCCTAATTCTCTTTAATTTTTCTCCCTGAGTTAGCCAACAGAAGCAGTACATCCATCAGTTGTGTAAAATGAAAAAAGAAGCCTTTTGCAATCTGCTCTACTTGACATTTTAAAACAAATGCAGTTTTGTTTAGAAAATAAACTGCTCTCCCTCCAAGATCAGCAGCTGATGTTATCAGCTGATTTAACTGAATCTTTTAACATATTGTTTTAAACTCACAGAGAGCAAAAAAGCAATTCTACGTCTTTAAAAAGTGAAACCAAAATTGATTTTTATTTGATATTGATAAACTTATCATATACTGTAGCAATTACTGACAAAATGAAAACAGTTATGACACACAGATGATAAAGAGTTATTTAGCATGGCATATTTATCCATACAATATACACTCTCTATATATGCACTAGATGGTATAAAGGCTTCGCTACAGATAAGGAAAGCAGTACTGGACTTGTTTAAATGCCAAGTGCCCCCTTGTGGTTAGCATGATTTTTGTATTCAAAATCAGCTCAAGAGCTGAGCTACAGGAACCTATGTGTCCTGTTTGGATCAGCTGTCTGCAATGGTAAAGGAAGGGGTCTGGAAACCTATTGCAAAGTTTAGGCTCCTCCAGGGCAATCAAGTGTGGGACATTGCCATCCAAATCTCCACCGTGGTCCCCTCTGCTCATTGCAGTTGCCTGCGGACTTGGGAAAGAAGGAGTGAAAACTGAGGCCTCTGTTGTTGTGGTTTGGGCTGACAGGACAAGATGTTGTCAACTGTGAGATCTTTCACTTAGGGTCTCTCCTGCTGCTCCTGGAMAAAATAGATTGCTTCCTTATGTGTTTTCCCTGGGAAGCAGAGCTATCTTGCAGTCCCAGACAATTGCTAAGGAATTCTTAGAATTCCAACCAACCACCAAGCTGGAGAACTGCCAGCTAACAAGGCCAGTTGACTGCAAGATTTTTGCTTGATTGTGCTTCCCTCGAGATGCGAGGTGAGTTTATGCCTCCAGGAATGGCACAGAAGGGTCTGAGCAAAAAAATTCTGCTGGTCTGTACACCGCCACTAGGAGGAACAACTAATGCCATTGTGACAAGAAAAGTAAAAGAAAACAAGTTAAGAAGTCATCTAAAAATACTTGTTCGAGGCCAAATGGAAAGAATAGGAATGGCAAGTCTGTGGTGCAGCATAATACARCCTAGGACCATCAGACCAGACTACAGAGCTTCCTCCACAATCTTTAGGTTCTTCACAAAAAGCCAGGCTGTCAGATTCATTTATCACATACCCTTACTGGTGATTTAATCCAACGAGAGCAACAAGGTTCATTTAACGGAGCCTTGCTAAAATTGTCGGTATTTCCTAAGCCAGTACATTGTGCTGATGTTCGCGGTAACACGATTGTAACACCTACTGAAATACAAATTCCTAGTTATGTATTTTCTTAAACCTAGTTATGTATTTTCTTATATTTTTCCTGTTATGCTGCCAACACCTTCTTCACTATGACATTGCCATACACCCTGCTTTCAATTTAAAACTGATGGCAAAAAATTCCCAGGTTATTCCACGGAGGTCTCCGTTCACGGCCACTGCCACCTCAGAAAGACAGCCTTGCCTAGCAAATACCCACCCTTTACTGTCAGAATTTCCTAAGTGAAAATGCCGGGCATTCCTGAATCCAGTGATTTACTGCAGAAACCTCCCTTCGTTGGCTGATGGTAACTAGAGCGTTGCTAGGGCAATGCTATCAGGAGTGTGCTCTTCTGAACTGATTTGGCAGTGTGTTTCTCAGCATTTGCATACTAAAGCTGCTATCTAGGGAGTTTTTCTTGCAGAAATGGCGAGAGAAAAAAGAGATGGTTTTCTTTCTGCTTTCAGGGGAAATCGTGCTTATCAGGAAGCATTTATTTCACCCAAACTTGTTTAATGAAAAAAAAATGTAAACAAATAAATGCAGAGTGTTTAATAGGGGTAAGTAATACTCACATCATGTTAAGCTGGAGAGAGAACGCATTTCGTCTGTAATTATTCCTGAAGTATGTATGACATTTGTATTATTCGTTGGGATATAAAAGAAATTACTGACTAAACAGTTTTCACAGTTGGAACTCCTTTGTGCTTGCCACTATTTAGAATATTTTTAATYCACCCTCTATAAACACAAAAATGATTTTCTAAACCCTGTCTGTAAAAATGTGTGTGTTCAAGTTATTAGTTCTACATTTAGTTCTCCATTTASTGTTGTGTGATGCTTTCACCATTTTTGGAAACAACTAAGAAAAGAAATAAGTCAGTATAAGGACTTTTAACTGATGACTCTATTTATATGGTGTAGGGCTTTTTTATAGCAGGGAATCATTCATGAATATGATTCTAATTGGAAAGGGGAAGTGGTTCTAACCAACTGCAATAATTATTGCAGTTTATGATTATAGAAAATCCTCTCTGCTTCCTTGTTCATCATTACAGAATTTACATTTGTATTCTTCTGTTCCATCCAGGTTTTATAGCTTGCTCGTTACCAGGGTCCCCTGATGACTAATCTTTTTTTATTTTCTCCATAGTGCTTGATATTGAGGAAATCTTTTATCCTACCTATCTCTAAATGGGATGAATTACACATTGGCCATGCTTTTCTCATTCTATCGACTATGATAGGACAATAAATGACTATTTAAGTGAGATAAATCACCTTACTACCTTTGAGCTATTGCCTCTGACAAATGTGGCTGCAATTGCTCAGTAAGTTAAAAATTATTAGAGGTCCTTACCAAACAGATAAAGGGATTGCCTAACTCTCCCTTCCTTGGGAAAACAGGGTAAAAAGAGTCACAAATAATATTTCCTTTTCTAAATATATTCCTCTTCATAATGTAATTTTGGTCTTCATGCACATATACCATTTATATATATATATATGCACACTCTCAGCTTTTTAATTCCAAACAAATGAGGATTGATGACTGACTGCAAAACTCTGCTTTTGCACACCCACTCACCACATCTGTTCTTTATTCTCACCTATGAAGAAGCTGAAGATGCCCCCCTTCTCCTCTGAACAAAAAAGAAAACCAACAAAGTATGTGGAAAAAAAATATACACACCTCAAATCAGTCTGTGTTTTTGACCAATATTCTGTCTGTCAAAATTAAAAGACAGGAAAAAAAAAGGAATTCTAAATTCTCTATATATGTATCCATAAATGTGCATCTACTTTTCTGACAGTTTCAGCAGTTTCAGTTGAAGAACTGCAAAGCCTCCCAGATACATGTTTTCTTCCCCTCTTTTCTTCTCTCCAAAATCAAAATAAATTAGAAGGATTTCCTTCCTTCCTTGTTTGAAGCTGACCCTACTCCAAGTTTTCTCGATCAATTTGCAGTTTTCTTCAACTATATCTCCAACTGCTTCTCCAAACGAACATGATGAAGCAGACAAATAGGATGGAAAGGAATTGGTTCTAATTTTTGTTTTCTATCTGTTTTGGAAAACGATCCAGCCAAACAGAAAACCCCATCATGTCTAGGGCAGTACTAATACTGGCAAAAATATTTACTATGTGAAGGCCAAGGATGGGAACAGAAAGAGTAGGTAAAAAATATTCGCCCTCTGTTCACAGTAGATGTGATTCATGCTAAGTGGCCTCCAGCCTCCTGCAAGCTCAGTGAGCACCATCAACCCTAAGAACACTTCTCTGAGGACAAGATGTTCAAATAAAAAACTCTAAATCACAATTCTTCAGCATAATTTTCAGTATTTCTGCTTATGTTACAAGACATTGCTACATTTACGTCCATCTATCTTATGTATTTCTAAAAGCGAGTGAGAAGTAGAAAAGATCTCAAAATAAAAGATTTCAGCAAATGAAAGGCTAAGGAAAAACTAGTCCTGAAACTAAAAAAAAAAAATCAATTTATTTTCAACTTCCAATTATTTATTGCTGGTGTTGTCTTGGCATTTTCCCTTTCAGGATTATAGGAAATCTTATGTGTTGAAACAGGTGGTAAAATACGAGCATATTAAATAACATTTAAAAGTTAAAACATGTACCTTGTTCTGTGTTGCAAAAATGGTATATGCAGTGTGCAATGAGGAATTTTCTTACAAATCTGTTAATGCAAAATATCACTGTAACTGGTTAGAAATGTTCTCATATATATATATAAAGTCTTATATTTCTCTATTTGTCCACAGAAATAGTTCAGCTACTCCATCTCATAGGGTTCACTACCTACCCTATCAAACAACTTTGATTCAGCCCAGACTTTCACTATATATAGTGAACTTGGGGACTCTTCCCCAAGTTCAGTTTGCATCTACCTCCTATGTATTGGTTTTACTGTGATTGTCAAAGTGATTTGATTTTTTTATACCATACAAAGTGTGTATCTCAAACAATGMAAATCATTTTAGCTTTTAGTTAGAATCACTGCTATTTTTTGGATTGAATTCTTTAAYTATATTAATTCTTTCACTGTGTGATGTTCATGCTTGTGCAACTAATGTCATTGTACTCACCACAGGCATTTGATCAAARGTACGAACAGAGGCCAATTTATCTACAAATAAAGAAAATATGTAAACCATTTATATAAGCACATAATCACTAATTCTACATAAAAAAACACCTAGGAATATCCATTTTTACCTGTTGGATTTCCACGAAAAAAATCTGTCTTGTCTTGAAGTTTAATAATTTGTCTTTCCAGCTGTCTATTCAATTCTACTTGTGTCTCGTATCTGGTTTTCCATTCATTACCTTAAAAAAAAAAAAAAAAAAGAAAAACAAAAGCAAAAACAAAAATTCAGGGGCAGCCTCTTTCCCAGTTACTTTCTCAAATTTCTCTCACTTTCTTCTAGAGACCTCAAGTAAGCCTCTGGTTAGTCATCCTCATAAATGAAGTATGAAGTATTAAATATGAAGTATTAATTTGTATACAAAGCAGCTTGAAAATCAAAGGAATTTTTTCCACTAGGTTTACTGTGGACAGAATTTTAACCAACTCATTGTATAAATTCAGGCTATATATAGTTGCATGAATAATTCACAATAAAAAGCTAACATGTAGCATTTAGTATTCTTTAATTTTACATTTTCAATAACAAATGTATGAAGGCTCTGTTTTATATGACAAAATTTCAATTTCCACAGTAAAATTTGTGTCTCTGTAGGGCCTACCCCAAAGAATTTAACTGTCTGTGTCTTCTCTTCCGCTGGCAAGACTGTGTTGCGATTCACTTACCTTCATCTTCAACACTGTTGAGTGTTTTCTCCAATTCTGTCACCGTGTTTCTCAATTCAGATATTGAGATTTCAAGCATTTGCCTGTGATATTTAGAGAAGTCAATTAATTGGCCATAGCATTAATCTTATTAAAACCAAAAGACTAAATGGAATGTATTTTCAGATGAAGTATCCATTGCTCTTTCCTGTGTAATTACATCACCTAGCAAAAAAGACTCTTTGCAAGATGCTTTGGGATACCCAAAGAAAGAGTAATACTGGTTTTAAAATCATGGTTTTTAGGCATTAAAAGACGGAAGAAGAAAGCCATTATGTTCCTGTCTTAGTTCCTGTTCTGGAGTATTTGGGGATATTCTTCTGGTTGTTTCTAACAGGAGAGCTATGTCAACAGGGCTCTCCTTTCTGAAATGTTCTGGAAGAGAAATGTTCTTCAAAATACAGTTACTACTGGTTCTAGCAGCCTCTGCTAACAGGGCTGGTCAGAGATATGGTATCATCTGTTTCTCTCCTCATGCACCCATTCAGTTATTTTTTTTTCCTATAACTTGGAATATCCAGTTTTCCCATCAACTTTAAATTAAGCAAATAAACAACTAAAGAACTGGCAACTTGTTGCCAAAACAGCAGGTCTGTGGGATAAATCCCATCAAAAGACAGTGGAGAGAAACACAGGAGTGGAAAAGACAAGATGTGGGAAAACCAGAGCAAATCTGATGGCTGCTTCAGATTTGCTCCACACCCATTGCAATTTTGCTGATATCATTGCAGTACAAACACATGAGGTTTCCTTACAGCGGATTTCAATCAACCTCATAGAGCTTGGAAAAGAGGAAATTATGATAATGTATTAGAATGGGATTTCAGGAAGGCAGTAACTCTGARAATTAGATACAGTTAAAGCTGTTTATAGTTACACCTGAGCTGTATTGAAATCAAATTAAGTTCTCCCCATAAAGCACATCCTAACTAGGTGGATGCTGAGGGACAATATTTTAAGAATAAGTTCTTTAAATCCACTGATGTCAGTTTTTAATTTCTGTTATCATTTCAAATCAATACAAAGTTTTTATAGCATAAGAAACATTCCACTTTTCCTTCCAAATCATTAGCAAAGCAGCTAGCCAACTTCCAAGTGTGCTCCTTCTTGAGGAAGAAGTACACAAAAATGATCAACATGAAGTTTCTGGGTGTCCAAATGTATTTTCTACATTGACCAAAAATCTTAATTTCATCAGAGACCAAAATCATCTTTTTAAAATCTGATTGTTATTAAATACTACTATTGTAACAGCACCTAGAAAGYAACTCAGTTGAAACCTTATTATTTTAGTCACTGTATGTATGGTAAATTACAGTCCCTTTACAGAGAAAAGGGATGGAAATAAGTCATTTTGCCTGACTTTGTAAATACTGCAGGTTTTTATTATACTGTAGTGTTTTGCACTGCCAGACTTGTTCCTAATTGTGATAGGAAGTGATGGTTCTGGTAACAGGTCTGTTTCTCTGTATTTAATGCAGTTAAATGCTGGTTTGATGCAGTATAGTTGCCTGCCCAAACAGAGACTTTATCTTTGAGAGACTTTGGAGTGATCTTACCTACAACCTCACATTTATACATTTATTAACCATGATTAGACATATTAAGTCCTCTGAATCTTTCTTAAGTCAGTGGACAACTTACATTCACCATAGCAGAAAACATATAGGAGAGCTGGAGTTTTAGGGGTCATTGGGACATAACTGCATCTTTTCATGCTACATCTATAGCAGAAAGGCTCATTTGAGGAAAAGATGAAAAAGAAAAGGCTGCAATTGAGATAAGAAAGCTGGGACTGAAATTACAAAAGAGGAAAATTGATGAGTTCCTATTTAAGGCATTTTACAGATGCTATTTTACTTCAACATGACAGCCACTCAGAATGAAAGCCATTTTCCTGCACATTTTGCTAACCAGATCTGGGTATCTGGTGCACGTATGAGACAAAAGACTGCCCAAAGCCATTTTCTGTGGCRGAGAAAGCAGCAGTGCAACATTACAGGAGAAGCTTAGGGGAAATCTTCAGCTGCAGGACACCAGCTCTGTAACATGCCAGAATTTTGCTGATTCCTGCAGAAGAGAAAACAGACAGATGCCTTCATAATCTATGAACAAAGCAGAAACCACAGCACAAGGAAGAGAACACACTGTACTGAAAGACTGAACCTTGAAGCATTTGCAGGGACCTGTGGCATGGGAGATGACTGCAACTTTCCTCATCATGAATGGCCACAAAAGGCCACAAAAGCCCAAGCCCCACAGGCTGAATTAACAGGCAACTCTATCAGCTTTACTAAGTATTTGTCATGCTTAAATGTATGGCTCTGTCTACTGAAAAGTATACTTGTAATGTTACACATAATTTCTCTCAGAARTATTTGCTGTGAGATTTCCCAAATAAAACCTGTAACTGAATCCTGACTAGAATCAATCAGTTCAGATTTATGCTATTAACGTTCATTAACATTTTTGAAAGGTTTCATGCTATCAAATCAATAAGCATAAGAGAGAGCAGATACTTAGGTTCAGACCCCCTACCGACATGAAAGATTTTGTAAGTTTTCTCTGTCAAGTAGAAGTCTCTCCTTCCTGAGTGTTTGAAGGAGAGTGGTAGGAGGGCTGTTAACAAACTGCCTCAATGRAGTGAAAATAAATGAGCTAGTAAAAAGGTAACAGAGCAGGGATTTGTCCCTAGGGATGCAGACATCTACCTCCCMGCTAGGGATCCTCAGCTTTCTAGACACCAATGGAGAGAATCAGGCTCTTCCTTGGGGGTGATTCATCTCATTCCAAAACAGACATCTAAAGTAGGTCAGGTGAATCACACCCTAAAAGGGCCTGTTCATCCTCATTAACTGTAAAAATGACTGGTTTGTAGGTAGCTTTCTAATAACTCTGGTTATTGACTGTTGGTTGGATAAATTAAGTCAAATATTTGACCGTAGTATTATTGCCKATTTGTACACACAGGATTTACAAGGAAAATCACTGTAGAATCTGCCTAGAGCAGCAAGTTTTTTACTCTGTTATGCCATCAAAATAGAGGGGTTTTAAATTAAAATATATTTTCCTTTGATCAGCAAACAAGCCACAACTTCATAATGTAACTTAGGCTTTGGGCCCAGTCTTGCAGAAGATTCTCAGAACCATTAGCAAGAAGTTAAGGTGCATTAAAACTTCCATTAATTCAGACAAATATATGACAGGAATGAAACAAAGCCAATACGCTTTTGCTTTTTATCTTAATTCTTATGCTATCAAGATCTTGTGTCTGGAAAAAGACCTGGTGTATGTAGAAAAGAGTTCATATATGTCTTATGCTGTTACCCTAGTGTTTATGATTTTAAGTACATTTGATTATATATATAGGTGCAAAAAGGTCCAAGCTCCTTTTCGATTCTGAATGCAGAAGCTGTCTACATATTCGACTCTGTGTCTTCTCCCTTTCCATGAGCAAATAAACATTCTTATAAAGGACAAAACTGCATGAACATTTGCGGAATCTCCATTCTGGACATTAAAAGAAACACTGTCCAGAGTAAAATTAGTGTGGAATTGTATGTTTAAAAACTGTACGAAAATCCAAATGTTAAGTGCCCGAAGTAAGGTGGCACAGGAGTTTCTGATGCTTCATAGTTTTTCACTTAATATCTAGTAGGCAGCAATGTTCTTTAATGAAAAGAGTGCAATTTTCTAAGCAAACTGTAAAAGCAGAATTCAATTCCAAATAAATCATAAAGAGCTGAACCATTCGCTGCCCAAGCGAGGGGTAACTGGAAGCAGCAAAATTAGCAGTCAACTTCTCTGCCCATCAGCACTGGTGGGGGATGAGGCACCTTCCTATGGGTTTCAGGAATATTTACTGGTAGAGGAGGAAGCAGGAAATGCAGCTTTGCCCTTCCAGCACAGCTCCATGTGTTCAGCACCTGCCCGTCCATCGGGAGCTCTTCTTGCCCCAGGCACACAGCCATGAACACACGCAGGTCACCAGTTCTCAGCCCTGCACTGGCTCCCCATCCTGGGCTCATTTTTCCTGCCTGCTTCTGCCCAGAAATTTCTAATTTTCCCAGGATTCTTGTGCCAGTTCATCCCCATGGCCAGTTCTCCCTCYTCCCCACGCTTTGCACAGCAGCTCCAGGGCTTCACCCAGCCCATGTCCCTGCTCCAAGGTATCTGTTACATCCCTTGTGCCATTGAGCGCCCAGCCTCAAGTGTCCCTGACCCTCTCCCTCCTCCTCCTCACACCTGAGGCCAAAGCTGCACTGAGGCCCAACCCCGTGTTCCCCCACTGGCCCTCAGCTCCTGGTGCGGAGCTGCCCCAGGTGGCTGCAGCAGTGGGGAGAAACTGCTCCGTCCTGTCCTGCCCTGATCTGTGCTGTGGCGTCCGGCCGCCCCAGCCGCCCTCCCGCCTCCCCACAGCCACTCGGGGAGCCCGGCAGCCGCCAGCCTCTCCCTGCTGCAGCGGGAAGGCTGCCCTCCTCCTCACGCCGTGGCGCCTGGGCCCCAGCGGCACTCACTGCTTCTGCCTCTCGCGGCCGAGCTCTGGCGCCAGCCGYTCGCGGCCGCCCGCGCCGCCGTCGCCCATGGCGCAGCCCATGTCCCCCCTGGAGCAGCGGCCGTCCCCCTTGGCGCAGCCCGTGTCCCCCATGGCGCAGCCCGCGGCGGTTGCGCAGGGCGACGGCGGCGGCGACGCAGCCTCACTCAGCGTGTGGCCGCTTCCCTCCTTCCCTGCCGCCCTCCTTCCCTCCCTCCGGAGGATCCCCCAAGGCCTSGTTGCGCACCAGGGGAGGCCGACAAGGACACGGCCCCTCAAGGAAGAGCTTTGGCCCCGTCGGGGAGGGCCAGGTGCCCTGAACCTGTGTGGCCTGTGGGACATAAATGTGTGCTCATTTTCTTTCCTACTCTTCTTTGGGATAGAAAGTAGCACAGTTTTAAATACAGGCTTTGACCCACACGTGAAGGTGGGTGCAATGCAACAGGGCCCTGTCTACAAGGAGCATCTAGCCTGTATTTTAGTGCCCTTGATAACTGCAGCCTGTGTTGGGCATAAACCAGTTTGCAAGGAGCTAACCTGAGGCAGGAAAGAGGGGCTCCGAATAACCAGTGTTTATTGCCGTGGATCCAGGCACATATATATTGAATCACAGATATTAGCATTTTATTTGGTATATGATGTTCTGCATTTGAACAAGCATTTCATGTTGCATTTTTCAAACAAGAGATTTAAGATGTGGTCTTAAACTGCCTCAGTGTTTCAGGAGACCTAGTACTCAAGTGGCTCTGCTCACCTCATGGCAATGGGCTGATAAAAACCACAGGATTTACTTCTTCATTCACTTTTGTTGCAAACAGCAAGTCATACGCTATAACCTTGGAGGCAGCTAGTACCCATYCGGGCACTGCTGCCATGTCTAATACAGAGCTTGTAATTTTACTATTACTTTAAGATGGCATAAATCGGTATTGCCATCCAAAATGTTGGCCCTGAAAAAATGTGAATTTTGGTCCTAGGACTGTAGTTTCTTAAAYTGAAATGGACCAATCTAACAGTTCRCTGATGTTGGAAAGACAAGGTCCTGATCCTCGTGTTTACCTGCATCCATTATCCACATGCCTTGTGCCAGTTCTGGCTCTTGTCAGTCTTTGCTAGGAGCCAATTCAATMTGCAAATTCACCAGAAAACCAGGAGGAAAACAGCCCAAACCCTAGACTGCTTCCTTCTGGATCAGCAATGGGGCAGGATCTAGTGTATTGGGGTAGGACAGCAGGGAAGCTGAAGCTTGACTAGAAGGAGAAAAAATCATTTTAATTTCATTTGTTTGATATAATTAGGATGGGAGATGAATTCTGACAGTCCCAAGTTATAATTGATACTATTATTCTAATCAGTGAATTATCACTTGAGATGTGGGCTGAATGCAAAATCATCTCAGTACTTAATCAGAAACATAATTTTGGACAAATTTTGCACTGTAGCTGCATTCAAATTTAGCTGCTCATTTTGCCCTTAGGATTTATTGAATATTTTTAAGATGTATATTCAAAACATATATCACGTCAAGATAGTAACTTTAGAATCTTTAATGCCTTGGCCCTAAGTTAGCTTCCATAGCTAATTGAGTATACTGTCTGTAAAAAAAAAAAAAAAAAAAAGAAGCATTTTTCTTTTCAATTTCCAAAGCAACTGTAAGAACTGGCAATCCCACGCTCAATGCAGGGATTAGCAGGTGTCCTAACTAGGTGACTTGTCAGGAACTAGGTCAGTGAGTGCATACATATAAGGATGTGTCCAGGCCCCACTCATTGAGCTGGCCCAGGACAGGTCTGACTTAAAGAGTTTTGCCAGATRGTTTGGGACCTGAGGTCGGGGAGAAATGCCCTGTGGACTCAGGGRTTATGCGAGTAAGGTTACAAATTTCAAACCAAGAGGATTCTTACTAATTACTGCAGTAACATAGTGCCACTTGCAACACGTAGGAGTTTTCTTCCAGTTCTTTAATCCAAATAAATAGGTTAAAATTAGATACACAGATACTTACAAATGAATTTCAGTTAAGGTTTTAATATGATTTTTAGGTTAAAATTGTTATTACTCATAAGAAAGGAAAAAGTGATTGCAACAGAGGGAGGCTTGAGAAAAACTAGGAATCTTAAATGCATAGGTTCCCATTGTGTGAAGGCAAGAAACAGAGTTACTTAAAAAGGTAAACCAGTTACCAAAAGTAAATTCATATCATGACATTATTTTTGTTTTAATGACTGCAGCTTCCTTTCAAACTATTAGGACAGTTCTGAAATCTTCCATTTCTTCTTCAAGCTGAAAGTAGTTACTTCAGCCTCACCAGTTGAACCTTTTACATAGTGTCCCATAGTACCCATATAGCCAAGCTGGGGAGATATGGACTTGTAAGTGGTAGGAATATGGTGCAAAACAGGCTGGGCCACCAGGTTTGAAGTGTGATGATGAGCAGGACAACTGCACAGCACAGGGATCGATAGTAGGGTCAGTCTGACTTAAATTCTCATTAACTACCTGGGTGGCAGGAGGGAGGGCACTCTCAGCAAGTCTGCAAATGGTAACGGAGGGAGCAGTCACTGTGCTGGAGGGCAGGCTGCCCACTGAGAGGGACCTGACAGGCTGGAGGGATGTTCCAGCTGCAACCTCATGATATGAAAAAAAAGCAAAAGCAAAGTCCTTCATTTAGGGTGAGAAACTCCCATTTACCAGTACAGTCCGTGGGCCAACAACTAGAAAAACGAAGAAACAAGAACCAGGGAGTTACATGACAGGAGGGTGAAGAGAGGGCAAAGWAAGACTTTTCCCAAAGATGGGCAGTAGAAGGATGAGCTGCACTGCWTATGATTCATTTTGATGAATACCATGAGGGTCAAGCCCTGGCAGAGGCTGCCCAGAGAAGCTGTGTAATGGCCATCCTTGAAGCTACAACTAGGTACAACCCTGACCACTGGCCTTGAGTAAATGAGGTTGAATCAGACAGCCCTACAAGTCCTCAGATGTTTTTTTCCCCCCCACTCCCATCTTAATGAGCATTAAACAAACACTCTGATCTAGAGGATTCCTTTCCAATAAAAATTCTAGATTTGTGGTCAAGAATATATTTTTTTTTGGCATGCTTTTTAACCAACAGAGTGGTGGGGATGCCCCAGAAAGCAGTAGAACTGACACTGTAGGTAATCTTCTCCGTACAAGACTTAAGTCAAATGCTACAGTAGAAAAGCCTCTGAACAAGCAATAAACGAGTTTGGAAACAGCAGCAGAGCAGTTCTACTAATGCTGTTTACAGAGCAGGTACTACATAAAGAGAGATGTCCAATGTCCAAATGATAAGCAAACATAATGCTGTGAATGAAAAATAAACTAAACTGTAAGGCATAAGTAGCAGAGCTCATAGTGGGTATAAAAGGAAAGGCTGAGTTAACTCAGGATGTGAAGGCTGATTTGGGAGAAGCAAAAATATGCAAAAATTGAAATGGGGTGGGGTGAAGTAAGATATAAGTAAAATACATTCCTAATGTAAATGGAATCCATAACAAAAATGTTTTTGCCAGTACTAAATCTGTACTACTCAGTGGTCATCCCTACCAGCAGTAACAGCTTACAGAAAAAAAACCTTTTATAATCTACTTTTGCTAAGCCTTTTTACTATGAAACRCTTTAGCTGTAAGTGAGGATCAGGTTTTATTGCAGATATACTCCAAGATGTTAAACTCCAAGAAGTTCTCTAAAACTTCAGAAGTTCCAGTTTTTCCATTCACTGGTGCATACAGTAGCTTCATATTATAAGAAAGTCAAGCACAGTTGAATCAATTCTTGTTTAGCTTTTATTTCTGTAAATCAGTCCACATTACACTTCAAGTGGTTAGTCCCTTTATTTTACTTTTCTCATGCTAAAATATGCACCCACAATAACTACCAGGAAATGTGCTACACATTACTCTTCCAGTATTTCTTTGTTAATCCATTTTTTAAAAATCTGATACACAAWTACCACTTCCAACAACCATTCCAGTTATTTTCTCCCATTATTTGATAGGAAGGAGAGTTGTAAATAAATCAACAGCGATCCCCCTGYACCAGACCAGTCAAGACTAGAATGTACAGCAGCTTTAAAACCTACTTTAAACCTCAAATTCATTTAAATAAAGCAGCAGTGAAAAAGCATCTCAGAAGGAAAGAGGGCCCTTACCAAGTTGTTCTACGTGGAGTTATTACACACTGCAACAAAGCTACACTGTAGTGTCTATTATATTCCATATACATCCAATGCAAGGTGCTTGTCTTCATACCTTTCATACACGTACCTTGTGTGACTGAAGTCATGGGAATAAAGGTGCTGACTGTTAGAACTAGTTCTTGAAGCAAACATGCCATCTAATAGAAGACAAGAAGTATGTACTATGTCTTCTATTCGAAACGATGTATGCTTGACTTTTTGTGGACTATCTGAAAAGTACAGAGTACATGGGCATTTCTTGTGGCCTCTCTAGAATGTTTTTGACAGAAAAATATTTTGTTTGTGCAGAAATGCACTTCTCCATATAAAAATCTCCATTTCAAATAATCTCTGAATATTATTTATAGTGCCAGCTGAAAAATACATTTCTCTACAGATCAGGTACCCTCTATTTAGAGGAAATGTTTGGTATCTTTGGTTTGTTCAGATGATGCATGAAAAAGTAATTTTGAAGGGAATGGCTATCTAGTTACCTGAGATTTGTCTTTCATTTCTTCCAATATGAACTTTGGATAAGATTTGCTTTTTAGTGTCTATGAAAAGAATTTCTCTAGAAAACAAAAGAATAAAACACAATACTTAAATAAGGAGAGTATATTAAATACTTMGTTTTAGTAAAGCTTATTTTTGTAAAACTAAATATAATTAAGAACAGACTTAGTAACCCTATTTGTTCAATATCACAACCTGCTTTATAAATATAAAGAATTACAAAAATATTCACAATAATGTTTCTGTATTACTCTACTGTTTCATGTTACATCCTGAAAAAAAAAGTGCTTCCAGAGGCAAGTTTATTAACTGCAAACTCATACCCCTCAAACAGTCAAAATTCCCGMCATCAATACAGAAAGATGAATTAAGGAGACTTTCATTTTTCCCTGTAAGAAAGGAAAACCTCAACCTCCTCAGCCTTTATATTTTCAGGTCAAATTAGGTAATAGTTGCTTGAAAAGTACAGTATGCTTTGTGTTAAATCACAGTTTAACAATATAGCTACTTCTTAACAGGAAGTTTCATTGCTAATGTAAGGCTTGGAGAAATATTTCATTGCTCTCTATTTTTATCCTTTTTCTCCTTATCCAGTACTTTGTATTCATCCAGCACAGCATGGCCAGTTTCTTTTGCTGTTCTCTTCACCACAGCTTTGATCCCAATGTTTTCAATATTAAACGCTGTCTTGCCAACATTGATTGCAGAATTCATAGCATTGTCTGTAGCATGGCCAGCATCCTCTCCATACCTTAAGACAGACAACAGATTTGTAGATAAATGCATTTAGCATTTTTCCCTTCATGAGTTCTTTCAAAAGCAACAATTTAAGCACAGCTGTTAAGTACCATCAGCTATTTATTTTCTCAAGTGCACAATTTAAATTTCTAAGGATTAAAATTAAAAATTACCGAGTCATTTAAGTAAGAGCTGCTACTCTATCAGACAAGTTTTAAAATAACCTTCTCCATCAATATGTTTGTCCTTTTTCCTCAAAGCCCCACCAGTCCTTCCCCACAATTGTGAGGAAAGGCTTGGCTATATGTAAATGCAAATATTCTGTTTTATGTTCAAGGTATCTTGTATCCTTTCACTGAGTTTCTCCACAACCAGATCCTTGTGACGAACACTGTAGGTTCCCAAAGTTGTCTCCTATGYTAGTGCACCACTGTGACCAGGCAAACTCACCTGGATCCCATGGGTGCTGAAACAGCTGTGCTCAAATACTAGAGCCAGATAAAGTAATTTGTTGCAGGRCCCCTGCAATTAATTCTGTTGTGCAATGCAGGCCTATCTGAAGGAGCCTGGAGTCCATACAATAGCAAAACAGAAGAGATGAGAAAGAGAGGGAGCGAGAGAGGGAGCGAGAGAGCAAGGGGGAGCGAGGGGGAGCGGGAGCGAGGGGGAGAAAATCATACTAAAGAGTAAAAGCCTCAAAGCAGCGACCTTGATGATATGGTGAAAGTTACTGATATGCACAACCTCTCATCTCCCCACTGGGCTGTGCAGGCAAGTTAGCAGCCACATATCCTCATTAAACAAATTACTCATTTATGACGAAAGATAATATCTTCATAGCAGTAGAGAATGTGCACTGAAGAATGTGCACTGAAGGAGGACAGACTTACATGAGGAGAGCAGTAACTCCAGCTCTTCCAGAAGCTGAACGCTTCCCCTGAGAGCGCTGTCACCAGCCAAACCAGGCCAAAAGGAAGCATTTCAGGCAGTAACAGAACATGAGCAGCTAGCTGAGTTACCTCTGCCCTGCTCTTCTTTTGACCAGAAATAGAGAACAGGATATCAAGGGATCCCAAAACTATCAGATTTTATCCAAAAAAAAAAAAAAAATCTTTCTCCATATCAGCAGAGTAGCCACTACAGATTATGGCTGGAACCAACAATGCAAGTGAATTGGAAAAAAACATTTTTTTTATTCTCTGGTAGAATAACAGCTTTAAATCATCAACATCTGATTTGCACAGAATTAGTCTCACAGCAAAATAAAATAAATTTTTGCTCATCTGATTAGGTATTTGCACCACAGGATTAATAAGCGAGTAACAGTGTGTAGTATCAGTACAACAGGCAAATTCATTTAAAGAAACTCATCCAATATGGAGAAACTAATAATTTCTTAAATATTTGATAGTTGATTTTTTGCTTTGCCTGTCTCAATTGCCTATTTTTTTTTTTTTACTTTATTTTTCTTTAAGGAAAAGGTTGAGCAGATGCAGGTACTGCAGTTATTCATACCTTTGTAAAAACCTGGTAGTAAGTTAGAATGAAGATATTTCTGCAAAGCTAGAACTTCCTCAGCTACATTTCCCCCTGTCCAATTTCTGATCGTCTTAMACWYATGWTWAWCATRWGTKTATCAGGAAAGAGAATACATTCAAGTTTCAGCTGAATTGGTTTACATAGAGACACTGTGATGATGCTCCTTTGTCTTCTTTTGTCACCAAGGCAAAAGAGAGCTTACAAAAGAGATATTATGTAGAACTTTAATATAGAACAGAATCCAAAGATGGAAGAAATCCTCAACTATCAAATATTGTAAATTCTATTGCAATTAACTGCAGCATTTATTTACTCGTTTTTCATCTTAGGAACTGTTGATCGCTGGTCTCATTATTTCCTATTTTTATACCTAAAACAAAAACATAGTTATGAATTTATGTGACAAGAGTACTCATACAATGCCTTCTGGGAGCCCTATCAAAAGCAAACACGTGAGCAATAAAGCAGCACTGCTAGCAGCTTGCTATCTTGCCTCACGTCTCTGCCTTCCTATCTGCAGCGYGTTAGAACAGAATGGGAGATGTCAAACCACTAACTTCCATGCTCCGTTGTTTACCCTGTCATCTTGYTTCCTGCTGCTAATGGTCTGTGTGCCCTTCCAACATCCTTTCTTAAAATTTCTGCTACACTCATCAACTCCATTTAACCTAGGTACTTTTGCTTACTTTGCAMATTTCATTATTCCTACTGTTCTTTGAGAGAGGGATTTGAGATATTTTGTAGTTGTTTTATAATTCTCCCTAGTTCCTCTCACTAAACACAGGCATCAACTTTGTTCAGTCCTGTCCTAATAATAGGTTGTCAAATGTAACGATCTTCTTCCCTCACTACCATTTTCTAGGAACATTTTCTTTTTGGAAGTTGTGACTAGAGTATCCTCTTGTATCGTCTTATTATTGCTATTTATGCTTTAGATTTCTTTACACAAAATGTTTGTACCTCCTCACTTGGGTCTGATATGTTGACAGTTGAAGTCACTTCATTTTTCTTAAATTTTAAGTTCCCAAAAACTAAAATCTCAGGGATGAGAGATTTCAAACTGTATGCTTTTTCATAATGACATTATATATAATGACTTTTATAATTACATATAATGACATTACATATAATGACAATTACATATAATGACAATTATTACATATAATGACAAGTATAGTGTGGCAAAAAAAGATATATAAATCTGAACAATATTTGTCAACACTGCCCGTAAGCTGTTCTACCTTTAGAACAGAGTTAGAAAGGCTTCAGAAGCATTGATTCATTTCATATTTATGTGAAGAGCACTAAGGTAGTTAATATCATGTCGTATGGTGCATACCGTACAACCGGTGCAACTAGAACAAAGCAGATATTTTAAGTAACTTTCTTGCACTTCCACAAGCTTTGTTGGAGAGTATTCATACACAATAACAATATTTTGTTGTAAATGAAGCAAATAAAAACATAACTTACTTGTATTTCACAGTTTTTACAGTCTCGGTTGAAACACTTTTAGCAATGCACTTGGCTGCGCTTTCTAAACCTTGCCACACTGTTGAAAAACCTGTAAAATGAACAGTTTATGTGAGTTCATGGCACTGAAAAATAACTTAGGCAATTAAAAATAGCTTAAGGAATTTCTATTACCTTGAACTCCACTTGCTGCTACCACCAGCGCTCCATCAAAAGTGGATTTTCCATCTTTGTCTTTCTTGAGGGATTCTGGAACTAATTTGCTGCCGTGCTTCTTCACATGCGGAGCCAGCTCCTTCCCAACACAGCTTGCTATAGAACACACTCCCTCAACTAGGGCAAAATAATGGCATGCAGATTATTCAATAAGAACACAGAACATTTTTTCTTTAAACATTCTTTGATTTGCAGTTAGCTTCACTGAAGTCTAAGGCGTTACTTCTGTTTTAATAGGCTGACTTTGAACACAGACTCTAAGCTACACTTAAGTGCCCAAAGGGTATACAGGTTATCTTGTTTTGAATTCTGCATAGCTCCAATTCCTAACAACAACAAAAAAGGTTATTCTGTGACTAAAAGCACTTCAGAGAAGATGCTTGTCATATACTTTTACTTAAGGTCCATATGGCATTTAATCTGACAAGAGATGTCAAGGACAGCTGGAAAGGCTTTAAATATGTCAGCAACAAAAGGAAGACTAGGGAAAATGCGAGTCTGTTACCGAATGCAGTAAGGACACTGGTGACAAAGCTAGTCTTTCTTCAGTCTTTAATACTAAGGCCAGTTCTCAGGAATCCCAGAACCTGGAGACTAAGGGACAAGGACTGGAGAAAGGAAGAATTCTCTTTGGTGGAGGAGCATCGGGCCTGACTTCTTTTGGGGGGTGCCCAGCAACAGAACAAGAGTCAATGGGCACAACCTGAAACGTAGGAAGTTCTACCTGAACATGAGGAAAAAATGTCTTCACCGTGAGGGTAACAGAGCACTGGAACAGGCTGCCCAGAACGGCTGTGGAGTTTCCTTCTTTGGAGATGTTCAGATCCTGCCTGGATGTGATCCAGTACAGTGTGCTCTAGGTGTCCCTGCTGGAGCAGGGGGATTGGACTAGAGGATATCTAGAGGTCCCTTCCAACTTCAACCATTCTATGATTTCAAGTGGCTGTTTCCATTACTTTGTTGTCTCCAAATTACAGACAGGAAAGAAATTGGGGATTCTCCTCATCTGTCTTCTGGACAAGTGTCTTACGATTTTAAAACTTACTTAAAATTGCCTTTCTTACTGCCATTCCAACTCTACAAAGAAGTTTTATTGTATCCAGCACAACTGAATGATACAGACTGACATGAATCCTAATATAAATATCAGAATGAAGTTACTGACAGCTGCTCTGATTACTTGGCATCTTTGAACACCAGCCAGTTCTACCTGGAAGTCTATACCTAGTCTGACAGGCTTGTTTAAGGCATTCTTAAAGCATAAGCATGTGCACACACATACACCCCCCCACACACACTGGTCCACTCTGTAGGTTAGTAACTTCAGATACACGATTAGCTTAAGAGCCATTCTGAATTGACCATCTAAAACTTGGAGAAGAAAGCAGGAAAAAAAGTTAAACTGTTAAAACACTTTGCTATACAAACTATAAAAGAAAGCATGTCTTATAACAAAAATATTCCTAATTAGTTCCTTGACTAGAGAAACCACTTGTCATTTTACAGATAACTGAATCTGTTTTCAGCTTCACAAATAAATAATGAGATGTAACATCTTACCTAAAAACTGGCTGACTTTCACAGCTCCTCCAGTAGCCTGTTTCGCTACATGAAGCCCCTTTGCTACAGTTGGGTTGACTTCCAGAGGTTTTTCTTCTGGCTGAATATGCTCCCGCAGCTTGGAAGCTCCTTTGTGGATAGCCTTGCCAGTATATTCTGCTCCTTTCATGAGGCCCCAGCTTACCCAAGATGCACCTTCAGAACAAATTATTTTTCTTAATATCTGCAGGATTTCACAGTCTTTCCTTCTGCAGCTTCCCCACACTGACACTTCAGCAACATTCCTGCATGAATTCCTGCCATGATTTCTACTCCTACAACCCTGAAACTTTTCCACTGCTTTTTAAGTCCACTATAGCCACTCTTTATCCAAATCTCAGTTTAATATAGACACACATTTTAATGGATAATCAACTCCCAACAGGGTCTACAGTAATAAAGCTGCACATCTTGATGCTATTAGCATTCTGAGTATGTAAAACCCAATCTTCTGTCTTTTCATCAGCCCTTCTAGCAGCTTCGTATTTCTAGTGATAGGTTGGTGGTCATTTATGCATTTCGGTGCTTATCTGCACCAAGTACAGTAAACGCACACTTTAACATAACTGCTTATATAAGAATAAAATTGTTCCATCACAGCTCTTTGAGTCATACAGGGCAATAAACTAATTTACGTGCTTGAACTAGGAGACTAGACTATTTGTTGTGAACAAATCCCTTGCTGACAGGGGATTAAAATTGGGGACTGTTTTAACAGAACAAAACAAAGTATCTTTTAGATAACTACAAYTTTAAGTTGTGACTAACCATTTCTGACTGCTCAGCCCAGTACACCTGCATTTAAGTACTACTCAAAGAGGTTTTTATTTAACCTAATCCCCTTACTATGACAGTACCTGACAAGATTCCATGGGCAACTTTCTCACTCCATTCCGGCAGCTCTTTTGCTCTTTCCTCTCCTTCAACTTGTGGTTGAATGTGCACAGTCTGAGGCAAGCTAAACGCATCACTAGAGGCTTCTGCAGGCTAAGATATGAAAGGAAACATCTGAGAAACTACTCCGYAAGGTATTTATTTACATGACTATACAGATCTACTATGGAGAACAAAAAAGCCAACACTGTTTTCCCCCAACAAGTGTACAGAAAGTCAAGGGAAGTTTGTGACTMCATCACTTTTCCACAGAAAGGCTACATATGAAGAAAAGCTTAACAAACAACTAAGCATTTTCTTAAATCTTTCTTCAGTTACAATTACAAGATTTTCTTGACAACAAGGCTGTCTAGTGAAGTAACAAAGTAGAGGTAGCGGACAATACAATTTAACTAGTACAAAAGATAAGATCCRTGAACATCTACCATTTTTATCTTCCCAAAGGAAAGTCAACTCTATTGTGTGTTGTTTGTTGTTGTTGTTTGTTTTGTTTTTGTTTTTTAAGACAGGAACTGCAGTCCCTTTTCTTCATCTTGGTCAGAGCCTCCAGCTGCACTAGAAGAATGCAGCTGTTCTGGTTGTTTGTGCCTCATCCTTCCCTCCRGAATTTCTAAATAAAGGAGATCTTTCATTGCATGTGCTGCTGCTGCTGYTTTTTCAGATTGATGCAGCCAAGGAACATTTGAAAGCTGTGCATGATACCACTAACCGTGGGTGGACAAATTCTGTGCAAATTCCTCTCATTCTAGTGTTTCTAGAGTAGACAGTCATAATTAATTAGCAATCACAGTGTGGTTAGTATCTCTAATATCTGTACCTGATAGTTTGYAGACAAAGAACTTGGAATACTCACTAGAGAAGACCAATAAAAATGTAATAAATTTAGTTTTTAGTTAAGATTCTACAATGTAAATTCAATAATTTAAAACAGAACTTATTAACAATAGATAAAAGAACTTTTTTTTCTTCCAGAAGAGCCTGTATGASAGCATTCCTACACGAAAGCTATAAACAATATAAAACTCAAACCAATAATACCTGGTATTACATGGTAATCTTACAAACATAGGATCCTGCACAAAAAGGACCGTTTAGATAAAAGAAAAAAAAAAAAAGGACAAGGACTAACTTAGGTCTTAGTCACTTACTATCCTGAAGGCTAACAATGTATCACTATTACTTTGAATAAGTAATTCTTTTTTCAGTATCACTGACTTGTAGTAAACCATCCCTTACTGCTTGACAGCGGTGTAACATTTCACTTTCAGTTCATGTTTCTGTTTTTATCATTTGATCATTTGCAGAAATAATTTTTACATACAGAGTTGTAATTATGAAGCAACAAATGGGGTAAAAAAAAGTATTCAAGATATAATTTATTTATAACAAATTGTCAGTGACCAAATAGAAAAAGGTTCAGTCAGCCGCTGCTAAGGAGCAGAAATGGGTTGTCTAATGTGAAATACAACTCCATAACATGCATAAATATTGCATATGCTTGGTCCTTAGATCCACCAGAGCACTATGCAAAACAGAGTTAAAAGGCCAGCAGACCAGGCTTTGAAATGTTTTAGGAAAATTTCGACTTGGTAACGTGAGAAAGTTTGTAAAATTCCAGAAACCTACTACTGATTTTCTAGAATTTAGAAGTTTGCAGTAATTGGACATGCTCCAAGTCTAAGGGAGAAAAATAAGTTTTAAAAAAAATATCAGGAAGTGTGCCATGTGGGAATTGGTGGAAGCATATACTTCTGTGTCAAACAGGGCTGAAATCTCAGCAGTTTTAAGTTGTATTTCAGTTATAATTTTCACTACCAAAGCGGGGAAAAAATTTTAGAATCACTATTCCAGAATTTACCTGGACTTTGTGGCCAGACCTCTGTTTTACCTTATCTTCAAAATATGATCTCACAGCTGCTGGGAGTTCTGAAGATAACCCTACTTTCTCATGAGATCCTGGCACCTGTGACATTGTATCAGGGAACATTAACAGAAAGTGCAATTTTAGGACAAAAAAGGGATTACTATAATCTAAATTTCTACACAGGAAAGATCATAGAATTTTATCCACTGTCTGCTGCACTGGAAAAAAAGAAAAAAAAAATCACACTACTGTGTGGTACTTTTAAAGCAAATTACTGGAATCCTGCTGAACTCAACAGAATTTATAACATAATCAAACACCACYCACGTGAAATGTTGCAAAATGGATCCTTCCAAGTCACTGTATTCAAGTCTTAGTATTCAACAGGATGGTRTCTTTCATGAAAAGATGTAATTTTATCGATTTTAAGTGGTTGTTGATTATCATTCCTCTTGAAATACTGCTCCAATGCTCTGTTAGAGCCATCACGAACACTTTTCACCTTATTTCTAGTCAGTATATCTAACTGGTTTGTGCCTTGGTTAGATTCTGTTTTTTCTTTTTAATTTATTTTCACTCTGCTTAATCTTCTACAATAAGGCTGCTGAAAGCTTACTTTTTGTGAGTGCTTACTGAAAGCACTCACAAAAAATAAAAATGCTTTCTCCTGAACAAAACTTGTCATTTATGCCTATGTTCTGTTCTGGAAAACAATGAAATTGCATAAAATGATCATTTATTTTCTGTGCTTAGAGTTTATTTAAAAAAACCCAAAACTATCCTCCCTCATATATTATGGTACATACATCATTTCTATGTGCTTAATCTTGTCTACATCATTTATTTTACATGGTTGAGTTTACCAAAAAAAAAAAAAAAAAAACAGAAGACTTTGCAGTTTTATACAAGTAAATATTATCAGGAAAATATATTGATCATTTCTACCTTTTATTGGTTTAAAGAGAGGCAGCCCTGGGATTTACCTGGATTCGAAGATCAGACATCTGTTTTAACAAATCCTCAAAAAGCTCCCTGTCAGCYGCTGGAAGTTCTGAGGACAACACGACTCCCACATAAGATCCTGGCACCTGCGACATGGTGTCAGGGAACATGTAGACTCCGGTGTTGCAGCACAGGACAGGAGACTGATTACTCATTAGAGGATACATCCAGTCACAAACCTAGAAAAAATAAATACAATAAAGGAAAGATTATTTCTACAAATTAAAGAATCTTATCAATGAAAAAAGCACCTATTAGCACTGAAAACTTAGCTTTCCATACAGTTTAAGTAAAATAAAAGCCTTCCTCATGCCATCCTGAAAATAACAAGTATTCCATGGTTGTAAAAATATCATCCCYGATTAGCTTTGACAGTCTAATATGGAGAAAATTCTTATGGGATTTCAATTCAGCCTGGTAGCCTCTTAATTGAGGCGTCGTTACAGATGGAGATGAAATACCCAGTCAGTCAAATCAGGATTCATAGTGCCCATAAYCTCCTGTTGATCCCAGGACATGTTTATAGGGTGGAATAAATAGAAGTTTGTTACTGGCATAGCTACTGCAAGGYCAGAGGAGGGGAGGTAGAGAGGAATGAGGAGAACCCAACATCTCAAAGTGTTTCCCCCTGTTTCTTCAAAGTTTCCTCTTCACAGAGGCAATCTCCAAGAACCAACAGCTCTAGCAGGAACAAAAAGAACCAAATTCAGAAACTGATCAGAAACCACCTATGTTACAGAATATGCCTGGAGAAACAAGCACAGGCTGGAAAATCCAAATAACATGTCTTTTCCTGTTGTAGTCATGAGCAGATTAACATTCTGAATTATCAGTTCTCCAAGCTGACTGCAGTATCACTAGCTCAGACAAAGAAGTCTATTTGAAATGTTACAGGCAGCATGTCTTCTTCTCTATCTGAAGAAAGGGAAGTTAATTTTATAACATGAAGAGACATGTTAGGCCAAATCCCTTAGGAAACAATTAATCAAAACAGTAAGCACTCAGGAACCAGGGGAACACCTAGAGGACATTTCTCAGAAAAGTCATACTGATCCTAGAGGACATTTCTCAGAAAAGTCATACTGATGTACATACTGATGTACATTTGCAGATAACCATTTCTCCAAGACAGAGAGCCTTTTGCATTTTTTCACACAGCTTTAGGCTCAGAGGAGCAAAAACTTAAGGCCACAGGCATTTAAAATTTTATGTCATTTTTGAAATATAATTAAATGAGAGTTTTGTTTGTTTTATCATGCTTTATTTGTTACCTGAAGAAAGGCAGGTGGACGATTCTGAGCCGTCTCACTATCTGCATCCAAGAAYTTCACGATGCGTAGATATCCAGGATATGAAGGAGCACTAACTTGCCCATCAGGRGTCACAAAGAATATCTGCACTCCTTGAGGAATCAAGATCAGTTCATCCGCATCCACCCCCAGATTTTCAAGGGGAGGTGGCTGGTTACACTTTCTATAGTAGTCTTCACCTACAGATGAAAACTCCCCAGAGTCTGTGCCATAGGACACAGTAAAATGGCCATCGGCAGCTTGAGGTGTGTAGGCAGGAGGTGCTTCATTTGGCAGACAGAGAGGATTTGGATCTGATGGACTCATTGTTGGAATCTGTCCCTCRCTCGCACTTGCACCACTTCTGCTGGCCACAGGTGGCTGGCTGGGTGCCAGCAGAGAAGTAGGTGCAGGAGGTCTTTCCGGCTTCTCTTTAAAAGGAACAGAAGGGTACAGCTTGGGTACCTCAGCAGGGGCATCTGTTGCAGCAGGACTTCCTTGCACAGTGGAGACATCTTGTTCTAAAACACTGAGTCGAGCGCGAACGTTTTGGAGGGTCTCCTTCATCTTCTGTTGCATCTGCCTGGCAGACTCCCACTGGGATCCCACACATGCAGGGTCCTGTGAGGGAATGCTGATTCCTCGAAGCAAGTGGTCTAGTCCCTGCTTATAGTAATTTTTTGCCTCTTCCTTCTGACTCAGTTCATCTGTGTTCAGTCCTTTATTGATAAATATAAAGGCTTTCCTGTACTCCTCATTAATAGCCTTAATGTTTGCATCTTCTTGCATAACCGAATCCTGCGCTTGTTCCATTACTGCAAATGGGAATAAAAGTCAGTAAGATTTTTCAGATTACACTCAACAAACATTATCTTATAATAACATGTCTTAACTGATCGCTAATACTGTATGTATCAGCAGAAAGGTATCAAGTTGCATGGTACAAAGTCTGATTCATTATGGTTGTTGCCTTATAACCTTCAGATATAGGATGCAAGATTCCAAGTCAATATGGAATTTAACTCTATAACTATCAAATCTAATTACAACACAAAGATATATGTCTTAAAAGTTAAGTAYCAGAAGAACACAGAGACACAGATATTAAATTTTCTATTTTAAAAATGCCTTAACAGTAGCTAGTTGCTGGAGAAGGAAAAAAAAATCTAAATTTATTTTTGWCAATGTTTTCAAAAGAGAATATGCAAGGTGAGTTAATATGCTGTCTATTTAAGCAAAGGCCTGAGCTYATCAACTTGGTACTTTTTCACTATACAACTTAAGGGAAAGCCCTAATGAATTTAGGCAAATCTTCATGTTTTGCTGTCAACTAGTAGCAACACACACAACTAGAAAGAAATATGTTTAACAGTTAAAAGCTGTGCTTTACAAAATGAAGAGAGTAATATCTYCCATTAAGGGTATTACTGGTTTTCTGTATAGTGTTTATGAGGATAGAAACAAGTGGTATTTTCCATCCTTTGCTCCTCATCTAACAAAAATAAATAGTGCACTGCTATGGATGGGAGGTTCTAGCTGTTCCTTTTGTTTTGTAASGGATTACTCAGTCATCTTCCCATGCGTATTTCAACAGCTGAAGAGCAGAATAGAATTCAACAGGCTTATTAAAACGTCAAAATTTGTATAACCTACTTTGCTAACTAAATACAGTTCAGTCTTTCCAAATGCAACAATATAAATTATTCTTGGACCAGGGCAACATTCACAACACACAAAATGTAAAGAAGTTTCAGTGAAGTTTTCTGCAGGTAGCACTGAGATTCAGAGAAAAGAAAAACAAAACAAACAAACAAAAMACACCCACACATTCAGACTCTTGCACCTGAGCAATCAACTTGGTGAACAACATAAATAGGATACTGTTTAAATGGAAAAGAAGATGCATTTTCAAGAGAAGTTGCTGTGAGCTGCAAGGAAAAAAAAAGAAAAAAATAAGGTGCTTTTGTCAATGAGACAATAACAAGCCACAGAAATTGTGGCTATATAAAGGTAACTGCAATCTAAAGAAAATCAGGAAAGAAAAGGATGCCTTCCTTCACATATGGAACCATTAATGCCACTGTAGAAAGCACACGTAAGAATTCACACCATAATTAAACCACTATCAAGAAAGCTGCATCAAAACAGGAAGAGATGTAAGGAAGGGTAACTGATGTTTTCTGAGGAATTAATTGCTTGCTGGCAGGGAGAAGAAAAACATGCTTGACTTACTGAGCTAGTAAACTGAAGAGATTGGATTAGTCTCTATAAATAGGCTGGATTAAAAGTAAAGAACACCTGAAGTAAGCATGCCAGGAAAAAAGGCACTATTGAATACAAACTTCTGTTAAAAATCTTAAAAATAGTATCTTGATTTCAGTTTAATCATTCTTTTTGTTTTATACTATCAATAAGGCAAAGGGAAATATACACACATATATATATATATTTAAATAAATAAATAAAAGGAAATAATCATTCCTCTACTTCAACAAAAGCACAAACTTTTAGAGGTGCAGGTCACCAGAAGAGGTGCACCAAAACACAAAGTCTGCACGCTGTGCTCARTTCTGCTGTGCTTTATGAACAAAACGCAGACAGCACTTACATGACTGAAGCATTTGTAGCCACAGGACAGAAGCGTCGGATAATCAGGTACAGTTCTATACTTCTATGATACGGCAGAATTATCCCTTGTGCAAAACCACTGAGGGGTGCTTTTCAGTTCAATGACAGCTAAAAATATTAGAGGAAGGGGCCCCAGAGCACTGAAAAGGCAGCGCACATGGAGCAGGTCACAAGYCACTCAATTCACCTGGCTTGCCGCCTATTCGCTATTATGCAGCAGGAAAATGAACCTCAGGCCACGGAAGCTTTTCTGATCAACTACAGTCACCCACTGGCTAGAGGACAAGCATCTTTCATTTAAGATGTAGAACAACACTGCCATAAGAATATATATGTATTTAGTAATCATCAAGAACAACGATTAGAAGCTATAAACAGCAAAGAGTTATGCTGAATGTAACTGGAAAGAAATCCAGCAGGACTATGCATAGAGCTGCACTCTTATAAGAAGGATTATGACACAGCCAAATGGATTTTGTGATGTAGGAGATCCTTTCTCATCATTCATAAAACATACTTTAGTTACTAACCTTCCAGGTAATTAAAGAACATATACATCAAGTATTCAGAATCATTTGAGATRTGTGCGGTCAAACCACTTGCTGGGGAGAAAAAAACAGAAAAAGAGAGTAGGGACCACTAAGTCACATGATCTTGTGCCAAMGCTTGCACATACTAATGAAAATTACTTTTTCAYTAAAAATATCAAAAATAAAACAACRTTGCAGTGAAGGTCTCATTTAAAAATTACCAAAAGCTCCTGAAAACACAGAAAATGTTTAAGAAAGTAAGAAAGCATACTGTTTAACCTAACATTACTACATTTTGCTTAAAAAGTAGTAAGCTGTATTTGGCCATGTTTAATGGCTGTGAAGCCAATTATGTTACAAGTCCCTTTTAACTGAGACTAACCAACTCACCTAGGGGGCTCAGCTCTATAGCCTATTTTGCCTCATGTGTTTAATTGCGGACTAAGCCCTAGATATCACCCAGATTTTAAGTGTATCTTTTGTTTTTGATTGTTGGCATAAAACAAAAAGCATCATCAAGTAAAATGCAAAAGTCACAGCTACGTTTCAGTTTAAGGGTGAATTAATTTATTATTCATTGTATGCGTGTAGTGCTGTCAACAACATTGTTCTTGTTAAAGCACAGGCTTTGTGGCCACTAGAATCTATCTGTAAGAAAAGAGAGATGTCAGCATGATCAGTGCATACACTACATGCCACTATTGCTACTCCATGGCAATAGTCTTATAGTCTCCATTTTAAAGTGGAATGGATGGCAAAGTATGTGTTGCTAAACAAGCCACAAAGCAACCTTTGGTCCCATGACCAGATACACAGATTTGTGCCSATTTGAACCTCTTAGCACTAAATAAGGCTTTGAGTAACTTGTTTTTGAGAAAGCTCCTCTAAAACCAAGCTAAGAAAAGGCACGGGAGGTAATCACGGATCAGTCTGGCACTCGCACTCATTCCTTAGCCCTTTTCCAAGTCACAGCTAAGTGACYTGTCCACAAGAAATACACTGCAACAGGAAAACTTTGGGTCATTCTGATGTTGTAGGCAAATACCTCAACTATTCGGCCACTGATCCACTGAAGAAGCACATCTTAGAAAAAAGCCACCTCATTTAAGAAGAGTTAAATTGTGGACATCACTGTCAAAAGGTAACTTTGAAACCTAAAGCTTATTAGGAGGATTACATTTCCTGACTGAAAGAAGTCTCAAAATCCCTGTTTTTGAAGTCTGAAGCAGGGATTGAGGGAAAGAAGGGAGAAAAAGGAACAAACAAACAAACAAAAACCATCTCCCTTAATCTAATGCCTCCTCCTATACATCAACTGTTTCCCTACCACTCATTCATTTCAAAGACAAAAAGCCTGAGGAGAGCTACAATCTAGACAAAATTCTTTAAGGCTTAATTCTTTAGGGAAAGATCAATCAAAGGGATATTTATATCTTTTGAGAATAGTGAGAACTGCCTGAATTGAATCAAACATGAAGAATTTAAACTAAGAGAGTTTCCAGTTGATAAAAACTCTACGTTTATTTAAACCATTTTATTTATAATTAATCTTGAAGTTGTTCACTGTGGGGTGGCTTATCTAACTTCTCCTCTCCGTATGACTGCTGCCTTCTCCCCACGAACACACTTCCTGGCCCAGCGCTCCGCAGGCCCATCCCAAGCTCCCTATCTGGAGCTTTTAGGCGCTGGAGTCCTCGCCTGCTGCAAAAGGAAGGAAAGGGCCTCTCCAAAAGGGAAAAGGGCCAGGAGGGCAGGAAAGCGCCTGCCTTCATCCCCCAGCCGCACCGCCCAGCCCCTCGCGGCGCTCAGGCGCAGACATTGCCCCAGCCCGCCGCTGCGAGGGCAGAAACCCGGCGACATCATGGAAGGTTTAAGAGCGACGCAACTCCTTATGCAAAGCTGCTCAACGCGCCGTCATTAGCACCGGACCTGCCGGTTTCCCATCACGGCCACGCTGCTCCCCCTCCACATCGGCACAAGCTGCGCGGCCCAGCTCGCACGACGCTCCTCTTTTAAAGCGGAGGAAGCCCAAGCCGCAGCTCTGCGGGCCGGCGCCGGCCCCCCCTGCGCCCCTTCCCCGCGTCCCGGCCGCGCTCACCGAGGAGGAGCCGCCGCCTCASGCGGCCGGGCCCGCGCGACGCTTCTCGGCGGGGGCGGGGCGCGCCCCCGTGACGTCACTGCGCGGCCGTTGGGGGCGTGGGCGGGGCCCAACGGCCGCCGGGAGGCGGTTTTGTTCGGGTGGCGCCTCACGTGAGAGGGGCGGCTGTGCTTACAGCCATGTTATAGCGCCTGTTGTTACTAATATCAACTAATAAAAGGGGTTGGATAAATGTTGCTTGCAATCTATATCTCCCCTGGCTTAAGCCTTGGCTTCCAGTAGAGGGTTTTGAATGCCCTTGAAAAGTCTGGGCGTGGGGCTGGGCAGTGAAACATGGAGATTTGAAATGGGTGGCATGTGAAAGCAGGCATCGTGGGCAGCACATGCAGAAACGGCAGGAGATCTTGCTATAGCTTACACTTGTGTGTCACATACTTCAAATTTATTTCGACTGTTGCCTCAAAGGTGGTCATAAAGCTCCTTTCTAACCATGGGAAAGCCGTTTCCTAACTCTTTTCTGTGGGGACGAGCACGGTCAACTGATGCTATAAAAGCAAAGGAAAATATTCTTGCTAATTTTTGAGCACTTGCCTTAAACTAGGAAGACCCTCAATTCCCAGTGAGAGAGACCAATTAGAATTTGAGTATAATCAGGCAGCATATTCTTTGCTTCCTATGTTAATAATCATAATACTAAGAATCTTCTGGAATTTGACTTTCACATAGAAAATTTCAGACCATGGGATTTAAGTGTAACAGAAGTGATGTGTGTTAWTACCTTGTGCTTGTTTCTTTTTAGCCTTATTCTACATACCTCTGCATACCAAGGAGGGTGTAGCTAACTCTGTTAGGGCTTATTTACTTGCTTTCTTAAGTACAGTTATTCGGCTATACCTATGCTGATTGTGCATCAACTTTCTCTGACATACCCGAAATTACAGATSAAAGGAAACTGATAGTAAGCTTTGTGTTTAATTAGTGGCAGCCATACCCAGAACACGTCTTGGAARATGCATTTGTTTCTCAGACTCATTTAGCTGGAGTATTTCTAGAAATTTTCCACATATAACAGTTTCTAGAGCAAAACTTGTCTAGGAATTCTGTGTTCCTGAATTATGATTTACCAGCCTTCAGTTCTTTTTACTACTGATGAGAAACAGAGACCAACCTAGAAGAGATGAGACTTCCACAAATCAGCTCCTGGAACAATTTCTCCCTTTAAATTAACATGATGAGGATGACAGTCATTAAAGAGTACAAGCATGCAAATGAATGAACATAGTAGATATGATTTGAGCTAGTAGAGATGACCCTAGATATTGGTTTAGGCAGGCACTGGCTTGAACTCAAGTGGCTGTAGGTGACACTGAATAATGTTATGTGGATATATACAAGGTTTAGAAAGCAGTTTTATGGTGGAGAGCAACATCCTTGTCTCCAATCAGTACTGCAAGCACTGATTGTTTTAYATGCCTGTGAAGGCGTAAGTTTGCTGTGGGAAGATAAGAGTGACTCCAGCCCTGCTGCTAGTGGTGTGTGGTGCAGTTCACAAGCGTTTAAGGACAGAAGAGCCACTGTAATGGTTCAGATGAAGTGTCCAAGCATCTCAGCTACCTGCTGAGATTATTACACCATTASCATCGGTGTAATTCCGTATCCTCAAAATGCCTCACAAAGTTCAACAAAAGCAAATGCAGACTCCCATACCTGAGATGGAACAGCCCACATAGTCAATGCASTCTGGGAGCCAATCAAGAAAACAACTTTTCAGAAAATGACCTTGGTGTACAGGCCATACATAAATCTGCAGTGATCCCTCAGGGCAATGAAGTCTAACGGCTGCCCGGGCTGCACTGGGCAGTTGGCTGATAGGCCATGGGCATTAGTTATCTGAGAGCTCATGGAAGCACTGTGACCGGTTTTGGATTCCCCAGCAGAGAAAAAGATGTTGGCCAGTGAGACCAGTGKAGAGCCACTGGATGATGAGTGGATTGGAGCCCGTCATGTGCCAGGAGAGCCCAAGAGAGCTGGATTTGTTCAGCYAGAAGAAGAAAATCTAAGGTAGAGCTATCGTTACCTACCTAGTGGGTAGTGTGAGAGAAGAAAGAGACAAGCTATTATTCTCAGAGGTACGTAAATTCAAACACGGGAAGTTCCATCTCCATATGAGGAAGAACTTTCCTGTGAGGGTGACAGAGCCCTGGCACAGGCTGCCCAGGGAGGCTGTGGAGTCTCCTCTGGAGATCTTCCAAACCCGCCTGGCTGCCGCCCTGTGCCCYGTGCTCTGGGTGTCCCTGCTGGAGCAGGGGGGTTGGGCAAGATGATCTCTAGGCACCTTCCAACCTCAGCCATTCTGTGATTCTGTAACAAAATGCAACAGATGCCAGTTGCAGAAGACAAAACTCTTAATTCAACATAATTACTTTTTTTTTTTTTTTTGTCTTTTTTAACCGTTTGGGTTATCAGATAGGGGCACAGGCTGCCCTCCGTCCTTGGATGGGTCCAGCCTCAAATCGAAGCCATAAGCAACTCGATGTACTTCAGAATTGTGTATAAGGTACTTCACGGGAACCTAATGGAACCTTTTTTTTTTTTTTCCCTTCTGTTACAAAAAATACTTAGGAAAAGCCTAAAACAAAATGGTGGTCATGAGCAGATGACTAGACAAGAGTAGGAACAGCGTATGATGCTCAGAGTCCAGAGCTTTCTTACTGCAGGTTGGTTCCCTGCAGATTTAAATAAAATATGGATGTAGATTAAATAAACCATATAAAAGACTGCTGAAATACAGGTTAATCAAGGATAGATTTAAGATAGATTGCTTTTATTTCTTTAAGAGTACAAGCTGTGAGTGCTTTATATGGATCACTTGAAAGGATGCCTCTGAAAGCGAACAGTTGAAATCAGTCAGTAGAGAGAGCTCAGCATTTTC